CAGGTATGAAACCCAGATACATACATCTTAACCAGCATCTTAACATCATTTTTAAAAGTAAAAGTGAAACACTGTTATAAAGGGAATTTGGAAAGTAAATACAAATACAAAAAAGTAAAAGAATACTTCTTTGGTCTTAATGTAACCAAAATCACATTGTGTTTCCCCCTATCCAGCAGTACTTCCTTTAAATATCAGTCAACATTAATTTACATAATAAAAAGATATCTTAAGACATGATGAAAACAGTTTCACCACCTAACTTTGTCATTTTGTGGAAAAAACATACTCTTATCCATATTCCCATGTTGACTTTGGTTATGGAGATTATGAATAAGAGTTAGGAACTGAAGCTAGATACATTGCCTGGTTTCACCAAGTTTATGTGTTCTCAAATGAGGAAAAATAATGATTCCTGCTTAATACAACTAGAAGATCTGGCTCTCAGTTCTTCCAGGTATATTCTCTTCATGAAATTTGGCTATCACGTTTATTGCTTTAAAAAAAAATCCACTAGAAAATCTATCAATTCCACTTGGTCCATCTTCCGCTGCTTTTTCCAGGCCACGAGCAGGGAGCTGGATGGGAAGTGGATCAGTTGGGACATGATGAACTGGCACCCTTATGGGATGTTGGCTTCACAAGCAGCAGCCTTACCAACTCCATGCTACAACAGCAGCCACAATTTGTGACATCTTAAAAGCTATCTGCAGGGTCAAAAATGGAAGCTGTGTCATATAGGAAACAGATATGGCAAAATACCAAACTATGTCATTTATGATACGGAAGATTAGAAAGAGTAAATAAAAGGCCAGAGGAAAATAAAATGGAATTTTCCTTATCCAGAGATGAAAAGAATGACAAGCTATTATTTTCATTGCAAGGGGAAGAAGCTTTGAAATGTAACAAAGTTCATAAGGCAAAAATACTTTCCTATATGATACAGGATTCAACCTGTAACTGAAATGTATCACTTTTCCAGAAAGACTGTAGGTTTAAAAACGGAAAGAAGATAAATTCCAGATTTCCCTAGCAAAAGTAAAAAGATAACTATATTTGGATTAGAAAGGCTTTTCTTAGAATTAAAATGATCCCATATGAGACACATACACACACACACACACACACACACATTGGTTTTTCTTTATGGAGAGATTATCTTGTTATGTATTTATCAGTTGATAAATCCAATTGATCTTGGCATTAAATATCTAAATACTTTATGACTGGTTCTAATATTTCCAATATGGTGGTTCATTTTATCAATATGATAATGATACAAAGACTTCTTTTTACATCTCTAAGAGAGTTTTGACTCCTGTGTTTTCAATAATTGTTTAGAAAAGAAGTGAAAATGTTGCTACATCATTTTAAACTGAACATTGAACCTTCATATCAAAAATAAAGTCATGATTTTTAAAATTAGCATTGCATAGTGAACTGTAATTCAGGATTGAAGATAAGGGAAAATGCAATGAATATGAATTCATATGTGTACAGCTTATATAGTACAGACTAAACTAAGCCTATTGGGTAATTATTTGGCAAATTCGAGTAGTTGTGAAATTCATTTCAAACCAAGTCAAATAGCCAAATATTTGGCAGGCAGAATAATGGCCTCCCAAAGATGTTTAAGGCCTAATCCTAGGAAAATATAAATATATTATGTCACTAAACAAAGGGGGAGTTAAGATTGCTAATCAGCTGCCCTTAAAAAATAATTAGAATATTATCCTGGATTTTCTAGACAGGATCATGGTAGTCACGAAGGTTTGTAAACATAGAAGAAGAGTGAGAGTACAAATGATGAGAGGTGAGAAGGACTTAACTGGCCACTGATGTCTTCAGATGCAAAAGGGGACCACAAGCCAAGGGATGCTGGCAACCTCTAGAAGTTGGAATAGACAAGGAACAGGGTCCTCCTCTTGGGCCTCCAGGAGAATTTAACATGAACTCAACCCTGCCAACACCTTGATTGTATTCCACTGAGACCCATTTTTGAATGCTCTCCTCCAGAACTGTAAGTTGATATATTTATGTTGTGGGAGCAAGAGAAGACTAACATGGCAAGCATCCAGAGAATGGTGGAGCCTGCCATTGTTTATGACTGATTAGTCGAATTCTCCAAACACCTTGTCTATCCTTTAACCATATGGCAGATAGACCTGAAAGCAAAGTCATGAGAATAAGAAGCCATGTGGCTAATAAACACGTATTGATTCCCATATCACCTTGAAATTTCATTAGCAAAATAAATTTCCTCTCTGTCATCAAGGAAATGAAATAAAATTACATTTTCAAAAAGATGTATGTTTATATTCCTTGTATTATGTTCTTTATGTTAATAGTCATATATTTAATATAGATGTTTCCTAAAGCAGATCGGATATATATATTTCTAGTCTCTGAATATGACTTTGATATCAGTTTATAGGATTAGAAACACTTTCAAAAATGGTATCACTATCTCAAAATGGAGAGTGACCTATTGCTGGGAATAATCAACCAAAAGAGCTGGTCTGGATGTGGCAGATGGAATTCTGTCATTCAGAAGGAGAGTGGGTTCAATGACCTTGAGCCTTTTTGGCTCCTGGTTTACAGGAAGTTTTCTTAACACAGAAGAAAATACTGACAGTGAAACTGTTGAAAGGATGAGATAATTGAAAATGCTCCATTAGATGTAGGAAGCTGGTGATACTGCGCCTTTTGCATCATTATCTGTTCAGTTCCAAAAGAAAATATCAACACAATTTAAGGAGAAATGAATCTAAGAAGGAGCCACTTAAAATATTAATTATAAGACTATATGATTGTTCACTGAGTGTTTAGAAATTATCAAAGCTGCAATTATTGAGTTCAGAAGTTTTTTTGCAGCACCTGGAAGAGAATAGTGTGTAACAGTCATCACTTGAAAATAACTTATTATTACTAAGTTAAACAAATCTAGGATAAACTTCTTAAAATTCATATCAGATCAAAGTGTTCTGCATTCCAAAAGAAAACAATAACAACAAAAAACAAAAAACAAACTTTCAAATACAATGCTGCAGTTGTATTTGATGCATTGTGTTTTTTTTCTTTGTAGATTGTAGCAGTTCATCCATTCAAGTGCTTTAGCAGACTGAATGTTTATATTCCTCTCAAATTCAAATATTGAAATCTTAGCTCTCAATGTGATGGTATTAGGTAGGGAAGTGAATGGGAAAGGAAGGCAGAGCCCTCATTGATGGAGATTAGTGCCATTATGTAACAGGCTCAAGGGAGCTCCTTCAACCCTTCAACCCTTCTACCATGCCAAGATACAATGAAACTCTGCCATCTGAGAACCACAGAGTAGGACTGTTTACCAGACACTGCATTTTCCAGTGTCTTGATTTTCAACTTTTCCACCTCTAGAACTTTGAGAAATAATTTCTGTGTTTATGCGCCACCCAGAATATAGAATTTTGTCATCACAGCCCACGTGGACTTAAACAGGTGCTATGCAGGCAAAATTCACATCTTTACTTCTCTCTCGTTTTTTTTTTTTTTTCAAGGTTTATTTATTTATTTGAGAGGCAGAGTTACACATAGAGAGAGGGAGAGAGGGAGAGACAGAGAGAGAGGTCTTCCATCTTCTCATTCACTCCCCAAATGGCCGCAATAGCTGAAGCTGGGCTGATCCGAAGCCAGGAGCCAGGAGCTTCTTCCGGGTCTCCTACATGGGTTCAGGGGCCCAAGCATTTGGGCCATCTTCTACTGCTTTCCCAGGCCACAGCAGAGAGTTGGATTGGAAGTGGAGCAGCTGGGACCCGAACTGGTGCCCATATGGGAAGCCAGCACCACAGGTGGAGGCTTAAATTACTCCCTACAAGGCCAGCCCCCATTTCTCTTTTTTAAGACAACAGTAGGAATGTTTTAAAATTACCTGATGGTTGCACCAGTAGGTGAGTTCATAAGACAATGGCAATCCTTATACAAAATGAAATGTTCTCCTCACAGAAGAAACAAGCTACTTTATGTCACATCTATTTCTTGTACCTGGTTATCCCACATCCTGTGCTCATTACCAGAACATCTAATGGATTTACTTGACTAGGGAGTTAAAGAATGGAAGGCTCAACCTTCCTCAGACTCTCGAGCAATTTAGTCATCTCCATACCACTGATCAATTTAGGACAAGATGATGGCAACTTGGAGGTGTCCATTTTGGTAAGATGGGCCTTCTGTTTACCTAGAATGTGAACTGTGTTTAATTCCTACTCCTTACAAGCCAATATTTCCTCTCTCTTCTGCATTTCTCAGTACTAACTCCATCTCAAAGCATGGAGGGGGACGCAGATTTTCCACAGATCACAGTGAGTATCACTCCGATCCTTTGAAAAGACATCAAAAGTGTAAACAACTCCCTGAACAACTTGCAAAGCAGTGGTCAGGTCCACAGATATTTCTCTTATATTTTGTTCTCTTAGGCTTTATTCTTTCTGGGATTGAAAAACTTAAGGTTATTAAGACTACCATCAAAATGTTAAGACTTCTAGGACAGTAACTTTTGGGCTGTAACACAAATGTAATTAGGGATAAAAGGGCTGATTTGGAATTAGGGGCCACTGGGCCAGACAAAGGGAGTCTACAAAGCCCAAACCTGACTTTGAAACATGATTTGGTGCCTATATTATTTTTGAGTTACAATCTATTGGAAGCTTCAATGATCCTAAATTTGACTATTCCCCAAAGACAAGTGTATTACCTACATTTAGCATTTCCAAGAGATTAAAAAAATTTTAAAAAATCATTAAATTTTGGATTGCAAGTACGGAAGAGGGTATATGTGTGATTTTCTATAATAAACAACCAAATATGATACAGTAAATTCCAAAATTAAGGCATATGTGGAGTTAAAGTGTTATCTTAGAATTTTGACATGCTCAGTTATTGAAGAAATATGTTTAATAACTCTTCTCCTGAAAGATTAGGATAACATAATATGTTCTTTAGTGAATACTAAACGACAAACTTACATCAGAATTAAATCTCAACTGGCAAATGTTGCATGATATGATTTGCTTTCTTCGATGAGGAAGAGGAACCCCGAAAGTATGATTTATTACAGCTTTCTGAATCGGGTCCATCTGCAATGAGAAAAAAAATACAACAAATAGAAATAAAGCTTGTCAGTTCCATTGGAATGTTGCCTGTTTCATTAAAGAGCCAATCTGCACAGCTTCAATCTACTGCTCACATTAAAAAGAACATTTTTATTCTAAGAAATGGCATTTCTACTTTCTTGGAAAATAGATAACAATAAGCCTGAAGCTCAGTATGATAAGAAAATGATAAATGTACCCATTAGAGTCTGCAAGCTAACTGTTTTTCTCATTTAGGATCAACAATAGTCTCAGTTTGATAGTCTTTAAATATAATTAAAGGTTTATCAAAATTCAAGTTATTGCTAAGGCCAGCAAACCCAACACTGAAGTTTGTCTATATTATTGCCCCAAAATGGACTTCAAAATAGACTTGGTAATCTGGGCAGCTATAAAAAGAAATTAAACACCATTATCCAACATCAACCTTATGCAATGTTTGGTATCTTTTGGATCCTAAGAATGTAGAAAACATCCTGTTTTCCAAGAAGAGAAACATACTGAGCTGCTAATTAAGTCACTTAGCAATTACTTACTGACCACCTAGTATACACTGTTATTCTGTTTTGGGGAGTTCAGGGAGTTTGGGCCAGACATCAGCTCTCTCTCTCCATTCCATCCCTTTGACAGGACAAGCAACAACAAAAATGTTCATCTTTGACAATACTTAGGTCCTTCACCAACATTTGTCCTCTGGCTAACATCAGTGATCCTCGGCTGTTCCACATCAAAGTTATAATCGTTTCTTCATTTCTGTGCAACTTGATTACAGGTTTATTACACCTGTCCATCTATTCAAGTTATGATGTAGTTTAAATATGACAATTCATGAAATGTACTTAACACGGTGATTTATGGGCATGCAAAACAAATAGGTATTGGCTGTTATGTTTTGTGTATCACAGTACATGTGAAGATTAAGGTTAAGATAATCCTCATACTCCTACAGTCATTATTGCCACACTATCCGTTTCTCACATGCTCAAAAAATGCTGTAAAATGAATTTCATGTTTTATGTATAGCTGTAACTTCAGTTTAATGCTTGCAAACTTAGGAACACTTAATTCTTAATCAAGCTCCTATGACAAATCTCACAATGACTGAAATAGCACAGAACTTATTTGAGATACACAAAAGCTAAGAAATGATGGTCTGATGTTCAGCTTCTGCTACATACTATGGTTCATTAATTCTCTTAAAAATGTCATTGATAAACGCCAATTCCTTTTGGTATATCAAATCTTTGGGACCAGTTAACTCACTCATGAAATTTCTCCATTGCTACACAAGAGAATATCCCCCCCCAAATCTCCGCCATCCCATGTAGTCACAGCTCCTATTTGGTTGAGACACTCTCAATATACTGTTCTAAATAATAGCAATAAAAACATGAATAAAAACAACGACAGGCAGCATTTATAAACTGCTTTCCATGTGCCAAGCATGAGACTAAGTGTTTGTGTATTAAACAATTACCATTATCAAGAAGAACTCCTGGGTGTAATCATTTTTATGTTCTAGTTTCCCTTAAATTTATTATCTAGCATTAATCCTTCTTGTGACATGGAATGAAATTCAGGCTGTATCCATGATTTTTCTGGTCACTTCAGGTTATTAATAAGTCATGAGATCCTGTTCCTCCCTTTTTAAAAAGATTTATTTATTTGAGAGTCAGAGTTACAGTGGAAGGCAGTGGAGAAGGAGGGGGATGGGGAAGGGGGGAGGAGGAGTTGAGAGAAGAGATCTTCCATCTGCTTGTTCAACTCCCAAGTGGTCCCAATGGCCAGGGCTGGGCCAAGCTGAAGCCAGACACTTCATCTGGGTCTCCCACATGGGTGGCCAGGGCCAGGGCACTTGGGCCACTTTCTGCTGCTTTTTCCAGGCTGGATAGGAAGTGGAACAACTGGGACTCAATCAGACCCCACTGGGATGCCAGCAACACAGGTGGAGGCTTTAATGGCTAAGCCACAATGCTGGTCCCTTCTGTTCCTTCCTGCTTGTGAATTCCACCATAATTTCTTTTCAATCACTTTTTTAAGATATAATTTTATATAGTAAAATTTGTCAATATTCAGTATACAAGTTGTGAGATACGAAAAATGCATACTGTCATGGTAATTAGAAACAGAATATTTCCGTTACCTGGAAAAGTTGCCACTGTCACTCTGGGGTCCATCTCTACTTCTACCTTCATACATTTAGCATTGATTAATATTTCAACTGAAGTCAATCCTATGATCCTATGATCTTTCTGAGTTTTGTTTTGTTGTTTTGTTTTGTTTTTAAAGACAGAGTTACAGTGAAAGGAGGAGGGCTGGTGCTGTAGCACAGTAGGTTAATCCTCTGCCTGCGGCCCCAGCATCCCATATGGGTGCCGGTTCTAGTCCCGGCTACTCCTCTTCCAATCCAGCTCTCTGCTGTGGCCTGGGAAAGCAGTGGAAGATGGCCCAAGTCCATGGGCCCCTGCACCCACATGAGAGACCGGGAGAAGCACCTGGCTCCTGGCTTCAGATCGGCGCAGCTCTGACCATTGCGGCCATTGGGGAGTGAACCAACAGACAGAAGAACTTTCTCTCTGTTTCTCCCTCTCACTGTCTGTGACTCTACCTCTCAAATAAATGAATAAAATCTTAAAAAAAAAAAAAAAGAAAAAAGAAAGGAGAAGAGACAGAGAAAAAAGATCTTCACTTGCTTATTCACTCCCTAAAATGGCCTCAATGGCTGGAGGTGGGCAAGGCAGAAGCCAGGAGCCTGGAACTCCTTTTGGATCTCCCACATGGGTGGAAGGGCAAGCACTTGGGCCATCTCATGCTGCTTTTCCAGCAGCATTAGCAGGGAGCTGCATCAGAAGTGCAGCAGCTGGGACTCCAACCAGGTGCTCATATGGAATGCTAGCGTTGCAGAGACTTAACAAGCTGTGCCACAACACCAGCTCTTTCAAGTCTTAATACATAATCTAAACCCATTCCTAAATTAGTTCAGTGCCTTAATGCAAAAACTAAAAGTGCACTTAATACTACAGTAACTCTGCCTTAGTTTGTTCCTGCTATAGGATGGTGGTATAAAAGGCCACAGACATGGTACAGAATTCTCTCAATATACAGCCACGTTCCCCACTCGAGCTAAGCTCCACAGCTTTCCTCAATCCCATCTCTTTCCTGTTTCTGCAATTAACAACACACAGAGCTTGAGAAGGCCAATAGCAGACATGTGGATCTGGAAGGTTTCAGCAGCCCACATTCTCCGCTCGAGGATGGTCTTTGTGTAATTTTTGACATGGCACTGGAAAGCTCTAACAACCACCACTGAGTATACTGGGCGATCATTTTCCTTCAGCCATAAGCTGAAAGAAAAAGTACAAGCAGAAAGGGACCACTGAGTTTGAGAGTTGGCACATCACGTTCTGTGGCATGTGCTCTGTGCATAAATGGAATCTGTTTCATCAGTAGACAGGGTGAATTATGCCTAAAACCAATGAAGGAATATTAGAATATTGTGGTGATGATACTTTGAAAGAAAAAAGAGCTGAATATTTACATCAAAGATGCTTTCCCAAAACACATAATGCTGAATTTTTATCATGTACTGGCGAGGAGGGAATTATTTTGGTCTTTTGGTAACAGTGGGGAAGCAGTGACCAAATTCAATTCAAATTTGTGTAGGAGGTATTTTGGAACTAGACACTCCATGCAAATGTGACATATTCTCTAGATTAAATTCTTTTGTTTGAATTGAACGATGTTCTGATCACTGTAGCTATAAAATCAGATTGCAAACTGCAAAGTGATGCATTCTTCTTCAGAGGTAATTTTATTTCCCAGTACATTAAAAAAAAAAAAAAACACTTCACTGATTTATATTTTCAAGATAGACTTCTCAAATTGTAGGTATACCATCAAAAGTAATTATCTTTTATCATTTCATGAATCTAGTGCAATAAAATGATAAAAGTGTAAACCTTTTATTAAAAACTATATTTACCTATGTTGTATATAAAATACAACACATAATATATACATATTTAATGTGCTTTATAATATAATTTACTATGAGGAATTATAAAAGGGTAAAATGTAAAGACCAATCACTTCTATTGTTAAATACTTATACCACTTGCTTATAACTAAGGGAGTATCTATGGGTATCAAATTGGGGGACACAGCCACTTTGATAGTTTTGCCTACACTAAGAATAATTTAGCATCATAATCAAATATTTTGTTTAGAAAGAAAATCATATATGTTGGTTTTCTTCTCATTAATGAACACATTTGATCTGTTAAAATAATCACATTTTGGAGCCAGTGTATGGCACAGCAGGTTAAGCTGCCCCTGTAACACCACATCCCAAACAGGCGCTCCACTTCCTATCCAGCTCTCTGCTGATGAGCCTGGGAAAGCAGTAGGAGATGGCCCAAGTGCTTGGACTCCTGCCACCCATGCGGGAGACTTGGATGGAGCTCCAGGTTCCAGTGGATGAAAAATCTGTGTCTATTTGTCCCTCTCTCTCTGTAACTCTTTCAAATAAATAAATCTTTTTTTTAATCACATCTAATTTTGTGTATGCATATTATCACTAGGAGTTCTTCTAGATAATAATCACAAGAGATGCCAAGAAGTGTAGCAGGGGAGAAGAAAGGTTTCTTAGTTCAAACACACTATGGAAAACTTAGCTACCTAAGGAGCACAGCCAATACATCCAGTCTGTACAATGGAATATTAAAATTTCTGAGATGTCCTATAATACAAATATGTCTTTTTTCAAATTTTTTTTACAGATAGAGTTAGTGAGAGAGAAAGAGACAGAGAGAAAGGTCTTCCTTCCATTGGTTCACTCCCCAAATGGCCGCTAAGGCCAGCGCGCTGCGCTGATCCGAAGCCAGGAGCCAGGTGCTTCCTCCTGGTCTCCCACGCTGGTGCAGGCACTCAAACACTTGGGCCATCCTCCACTGCCTTCCCGGGCCACAGCAGAGAGCTGGACTGGA